CACAATGGCCAGGCCCAAGGTATGTGAATGGCAGGGGCTCAAACACTTGGGCTATCTTCCACTGCTTTTCTAAGGCCATTATCAGAGAGCTGGATCAGAAGTGGAGCAGCCAGGACTCAAACCAGCACCCATGTGGGATACCAGCGTCAGGCAGTGGCTTTATTGAGTGGCTTTAATACCGGTCTCAACTTTTCAGTATTGTATGAACCAATTGTTTTTTTAAAATTTTATTTAAGGAATCCAAACTTCATGCATTTCATATATTCAAATTTAAGAATACCCTCTCTCCCTCCCACCCTTCTTCCTCCTCCTTCTCCCATTCCCATTCTTATATTTTACAAAGATCTATCTTCAGTTAACTTCATATTCATAAGATTAACTCTATACTAAGTAGAGAGTTCGACAAATAGCATGAATAAAAAAAAAGAAAGAAAAAACATTGTTCCTGAGCCCATTTTGAATACTGAAATGCTACTTAGAAGGCACAACTTGGCTTGAACATTGTGCAACATAATGGGGATTTAAGGAGATGTTTAAAGTACACTGATAGTAGTAACTGTGTTTTTGCTTCATTTTAGTTGGTTTGGATTATTATTTCTGTTTTCAATTCTCATTCACACCTTAAATTTCATGCCATCCTAAATTTTGATTATCTAAGAGAAAAATAATTTTGACTTAAATTTATAATAGTCATGTTAAGTGTTGCTTAACCAAAAAATACTGTATATACCTTGTGCACTAAATTGACACTTGAATATCAGCATTGAAACGCAATTTATTGAGTTAGTATGTATACAAGCACATATATTCCCTTGTTCTGTCAGCTGAGGGAGCCTAGCATCAATGATGTCCAGTAGCAACAAGCATAGCTAGTACCCAGACTTTGATTTCTAATACAATTTTGCTATGAAAGGAACTAAGGTTCCATGATAAGATGACTGATTCTCCTGAAGTTGAGCCTAGGGTCCCTTCTAGTGCTAGAAAGTAAGGAAAAGCTAAATACAACCCATAGTAATTCGTTAAGTCAAAGCAACACAGGAATCAACTGCAAGAGCTCTCAATGACCAAAGCTGGAAAAATGTATACAACACAATGACTAAAATGGTATTGGATTATAAGCCAAAACATTGCAGAAATAACTGTGAGTTGATAACTATATAAACAAATGTTAAATAGGCAGGTAGAAATTTTCTCTAATTCCGTTACTGGCTTTAAAAAAAAAAACAACTAACTAAACAAAATTGATGAAATTTTGAATTATTTATTTATTTGAAAGGCAGAATTCTAGAGAGAAAGGGAGAGGCAGGGGTCTTCCATCAGCTGGTTCTCTCCCCAAATGGCTAAAATGGCCAGGGCTGGATGAGGAATCAGAAACTCCATCGTGATCTCTCACATGAGTGGCAGGGACTAAAGCACTTGGGCCATCTTCCACTGCTTTCCCAGGGACATTAGTGGGAAACTGATTTAGAAGGGGAGCAGCTGGGACTCCAACTGGAGCTCATAGGGGATGCTGGCATAGCAGGGGGTGGCTTAACCTGCTGCACCATGAAGCAGGCTCTGAGACACAATTTTTAAAGTATGTTTATAGAAACAAATATATATTGGTAGTAATAACTAACCAAATGTGAGATGTTACATTTAAACAGAATATGTAAACTATTTCATCTCATGCCTCTACTGTTGAGGAACAGTGTTTTTTTCTTCAAAATATTGTTGAACTCTTAGTGTAGGGTTAACCTTATGAGTATTAAGTAAACTGAAAACAGATCTTTGTAAAAATTAAGAGTGGGAATAGGAGAGGGAGGAGGAAGAAGGGTTGGAGCATGAGAGGGAGGGAGGGTAGGGTAGGAAGTATCACTATGTTCCTGAATCTGTATATATGAAATACATGAAACTTGCATACCTTAAATAAAATAAAAAAAAAAGAGTTCTATGGCTTCAGTATTCTTGTTGGTAGTATTAGTATAGTTCCATTCCCATTTTATAAGAGAAAACTAAGGCTGGGAAAGATACAGTAATTAGCCCAAAATGACTCATCCAGTAAGTAGCAAGGGCTGGAAGTAAATCCCAGCTTTTCCCCAAGCTTTCTGATGTCATACCATAGGTTCTTTTTATTTCACCACGCTACCTCTCATGTCACAATTGGTAGGTACCATATGATAAAGAGACAAATTGAAATTTTCTATGTAGTAGCTTCCATGAAAATACCTACCTGACCTACCATTAGAGTATCTACAATGCAAGCAAGAGAACTGTAATTTATGAGCTCTGGGAACTAAAATAAGGTTAAGTATCAATAGGCTAATTTTGTTGTTGATGGTGATGTCTCATTATATACTCTAGATGCTAACAGTGAGTAGATGATTTTTTTCTATTTTTATATCTTTTAATATGTTTATTATATATTTGATATATGTTCATCTATTTAGGTTTCTCTGAGTTTTGATTTCTTGTTTCTTGAAGTGACAGAAGATAGAACTGCTTGTGTCCTTTGAAATCAAATGAACTCATGTGTGATTCATAGTAAAAGGATTTTTTTAAATCTGCATTTTAATTATGAAATATATTTAAAATATCTAGTACATTTGTTATGCCAAGATAAAGACATCTCACATTAGCTGGCAGTTGAAGACACTATTTTTTTGTGTTCTTAGCCAAATTAGGCTAAAGAAAATTCAGGGAATGAAACTGATTCCTGGCTAGAATTTCCCAATTTCTGCCTTTAGAACATGCTGTGCTCCAATATATTGTGCAGCATACATGAGGATAGCTAAGAAAATAAGGCACTGAATGCTTGACTCTGTTCGTGTTAACATAACAATTACTAGAGCAGAGGAAAGATTAGGATAAGGTGAGCTAAATATTACATGAATGCTTTCCAGTTTATTATGAGAAAGGATTGATCCTTTCCTAAACAATTATACAATAGTGCATCTGAAGAAGGATATTAGGCAAGTTTTTAGTTAGCTATCCATACCATGTGTTAAAGAAAAATTGAGACAAGTTAAATTTAGCAGTTTATTTCAGCAAGAACAAACTCGAGAACTTGGCAGCGTTCCACACTGATGACGGTATAGAATGCCTTCACCTTGAACATAGTGGGTTGTATTTATAATCAGAAAAAAACAGGAAACGATGTGCAGAGATTCGTTGGTTGGTGCAATTCAGCCTTTACCTTAACTTGGGGATAATTTGCCCATCTTAAGGCTGGGATTGGCTAAGTATTTGGCTGCTATGATTGACTAAGACTCAGTTGCTTGGTACAAGTGCATACTATCAGGTTAGGTTGCAATTTGCACATCAAACCAGGTTTCAGTTCATTATGTACAGAGGCCACATTGGGCCAAATGTTGTCACCTAAGACAAGAAACAGGCTTAGATCACTATTAATTATGAAAAAAGTATTATGATTGAATGTATCCAAGATTATTTAAAGGTTAAGAAGATTCCTAGATGAATTGTTTATTTGAATTCAGAAGAGAGACTAAGGGGCCAGCATCATGGCATAGCAGGTAAAGCTGCCATCTGCAATGCCAGCATCACATATGGGGGCCTGTTCATGTCCTGGCTGCTCCACTTCCAATCTAGGTCCGTGCAAGACCCTGAGAAAAGCAACAGAAGCTGACTCAAGTGTTTGGGCCCCCACCACCCATGTAGAAGACCCAAAGGAAGCTCCTGGCTCCTGACTTCAGTCTAACTAAACCCTGGCCCTTGAGACCATTTGGGGAGTGAACCTGCTGATGGAAGATTCGCTCTCTCTCTCCCTCTCTTTCTCTCTCTGTAACCCTTTCAAATAAATAAATAAAGGCCGGCGCCGCGGCTCACTAGGCTAATCCTCCGCCTAGCGGCGCCGGCACACCGGGTTCTAGTCCCGGTCGGGGCATCGGATCCTGTCCCGGTTGCCCCTCTTCCAGGCCAGCTCTCTGCTGTGGCCCGGGAGTACAGTGGAGGATGGCCCAGGTGCTTGGGCCCTGCACCCCATGGGAGACCAGGAAAAGCACCTGGCTCCTGGCTCCTGCCATCGGATCAGCGCGGTGCGCCGGCCGCAGCGCGCCGGCCGCGGCGGCCATTGGAGGGTGAACCAACGGCAAAAGGAAGACCTTTCTCTCTGTCTCTCTCTCTCACTGTCCACTCTGCCTGTCAAAAAAAAAAATTAAAAAAAAAATTTAAAAAAAAAAATAAATAATTTCTTTAAAAAGAGATAATAATGTCACCTTGGACCAACTGTCTTCAAAAAAACACAGGCTGAATTGAGGGTGGGGGAACCTGACTAATCCTAACTAGTGATTAGAAAATGGTGCACAGAAACAAGAAAGGTAACAAGCAAAACACTTAATTGTGTTCATCCAATCATCAAATTTTTAAGTTCCCATCAATTGTATGTCTATGTGTACTTGTGTTGGCATTTAAATACTATCATTGTGTGATACTGAAAATACATGTGGATAGCTTTCACTGTTGTAAATTAAATACTGATAACATTTTCCTAAATACTGGGAAGTAAAAGGTAGAAATACATATATCATTTATTGATGAGATGGACATACAATAAAAAATGCAGTGGGAATCTCAGACTTGAGATTCTTCAAGAAATAATATTGCTATGCAATGAGTATTCCCATGGAGAAGCTCAGGACATTATCAAATTTTCAAAATTGTTGTGAATCAGGTCTAAGGGTTCCATGCCTAATGACATAACCAATAGTTATACCTATAAGAATCAAAAAAGAGGATATTTCTGTCTGTGTATAAACAATTGTTATTAGTCCTGTAGATGAAGCAACACTAACATGATGCTTCACTTTAATGTAAGATCAGACAGTAATCACAGTGAATTATTTAAGATTGGAGAGCAAAGTTTACTTTAACCTAATATACTTCTATTAGAAGTTGATGTGCCTGAAATGTCCATTGGAGACGTGAATACTCACAAGGAGAAAAGTTACAATTTTTACAAGATGATATGATAAAGCATATTCTTACTCACACTTCTCTTTCAGATTAGATACTCAACATCCTGAAGAAATGAATGTTTGCAGGTCTGAGGAGCAGTTCCACGCTGTAAACCATGCACAGCAAACTCTTCGTAGAATGGAGAACTACTTGAAAGAGAAACAACTTTGTGATGTGCTACTCATTGCTGGACACCTTCGAATCCCAGCTCATCGGTAAGCATTTTTATGCAGATGGAAAATTGGTGGGCGGGACAAATATGAATAACACAGAACCAGCACATTGATTACATTTTTATTTTCCTGTGTTGACAAAGCATTAGTGTAGGCGATCCATTTCTCTGTGCAGTATTTAGAAGAGTCAAACTTTGGAAAAACTGATGAACAAAAGATTAAAAGGAAAATTTACCTACTTGGCATTTCTAACATCGCTATGCCTTACTGAATTTTATGCAGAAAACAGACTCACCAGTGTTACAAACTTACTGAATGTATTTTGTGTTTTTCAATGAGATTATGGACTTATTTGAAATCCAATGAAACACTCTTATTTCCAGATTGGTTCTCAGTGCAGTGTCTGATTACTTTGCCGCAATGTTTACTAATGATGTTCTTGAAGCCAAACAAGAGGAGGTCAAGATGGAAGGAGTAGATCCACATGCACTTAATTCCTTGGTGCAGTATGCTTACACAGGTAAGCGTGTGACATGCACTTACTCACAGCAACCCCACATTTCTAGCACACATTATTATTATTTCCACTCCACAGTGGCAGAAACCAAAGGGTAGGTATTTTAAGAAATTTTCCTTTGGGTAATAAGAAGGTAGAGTAATCATTTAAGTTCAGTAACATGTAAGATATAAAAGATTGAGATAGATAATATACTGTCAAATATTTTTTTGCCCTGAGGAAAGAGGGATACTTTAACATAAACATAAAAGACATGGATCTCTGAAATGGTTCTGGCTCATGAAAAAAAGTGAAAGAGGAATTTTCCAATTTGACAGTAGAGATTTAATTAGTCTCTTCCTCTGGAATAATAAAGTCATATTTACTTAAACTATCAAACAAAGCTAACAGGATGACTTTGGGATCCCAAAAGTATTTTGTCCTTTTTTCCATAATCATTATTTCATATTTAGCATTTCCTAGTATTTAAGAACATGTATTCGATTGTATATTCTTACACCTTTCTAAACACTAAAACTTACCTCCTGGTTTTCTTCAATAAAGTTATTTTCACACATGTTTGCTTGCATTTCTCTTAAAAGAATTTTGAAAAACTATGTGTTCATATTACATTATTCCATTAATGATTATAATTTGTAATTTTTAGTCGTTGTATATCATCTCAATATTTTTTTGAAAGTCAGAGTTACACAGATAGAAGGAGAGGCAGAGGGAGAGAGGGCTTCCATCCTCTGGGTCATTCCCCAATTGGCTGCAACAGCTGGAGCTGCACTGATCTGAAGCCCGGGGCTTCTTCCGAGTCTCCCAAGCGGGTGCAGGGGCCCAAGGACTTGAGCCATCTTCTACTGCTTCCCCAAGCCATAGCAGAGAGCTGCATAGGAAGAGGAGCAGCTGGGACTCGAACCAGTGCCCATATGGGATGCTGGCAATGCAGGCAGCGGCTTTACCTGCTACACCACAGCACCGGCCTCTATCTTCTCAATATTTGGTAAATATTGATGTCTTTTTATCTGAGAGGCAGAAACAGAAAGAGAAACAGACACATAGGCAGAGAAAGAAAGTTTCCATCCACTATTTCAATCCCCAAATGTTTGTAATGGCCAAGGCTAGGCATCGCTGAACCGGGGAGCTGAGAACTCAATCCAGGTCTCCCGCGTGACTGGCAAAGATCCAAGTACTTCAACCATCACCTGATCAAGGGCAGGCATTTCCAAAAGCTAAGACCAGAGGCAGAGCCAGAACTCAAACTGAGACACTCTGAGATAGAATATGGATGTCTTACCTGGCATCTTAACCACTATGCCAAATGTCTACCTCAATAGTGATGTCTTTTAAAAAGCACTATAGCATTTGCATTTTAATAATATCCAACAAAATGACAACCTAATAGCAATTTGTTATCCGTAACTATTCATTTGAAATATATATACATATGGAATTTCCTCAAAGTTCATTAAATGCTATAACCCAGAAATTCCAATTCTATGTATATATCCAAAAAGAACTGAAACTGTATCCACAAAAAAAGTGTATGTGAATGTTCATAATAGCATTATTTATAATAAACACAAAAAGAAACATTCCAAATATTTGTAGCCTAAGGAATGAATAAATTCATTGCAGTATATGCATACAGTGGGATATTAATAGACAATAAAACCGAAGAGAGCACTGATAAATGCTACAACATAGATGAACTTTGAAAACCTTATGTCAGGTGAAAGAGTCCTATCAAGGGGCCCATTGTTGTGGCCCGGTGTGTTAAGTTCATTGCCTGCAATGTCAGCATCCCATATCAGAGAACCTACAGTTAAAGTCCCGGCTGTTCTGCTTCTGATCCAGCTCCCTGCTAATGCAACTGGGAAAGCAGAGAAAGATGGCCAAAGTGCATGTGGGAGGCCCAGTTAGAGCTCTAGCTCCTAGCTTTGGCCTGGCCAAACCCTGGCCATTGTAGTCATTTGGGGAGGGAACTAGTGGTTGGACAATTTCTCTTTTTCTTTTGTCTCCCTCCCTCTCTGTAACTCTGCCTTTCAAATAAATAAAACTTTAAAAACAAAAAGGAAAGAATCCTATTACAAGAGACCATCCATATTAAATATCCAATATTGGAAATTTCATACATACAGAAAGTAGATTCGTAGTTTCAAGAATCTGGGGACACTTGGGAATCAGTGTGAACAGGTATGGGGTTATTCTTGGGAGTGGTGAAATACTCTGGAATTTTTTTTTAGGGTCATTTTTTTAACTTTTATTTAATGAATATAAATTTCCAAAGTACAGAATATGGATTACAATGGCTTCCCTCCCTTAACGTCCCTCCCACCCGCAACCCTCCCCTTATCCACTCCCTCTCCCCTTCCATTCATATCAAGATTCATTTTCGATTCTCTTTATATACAGAAGATCAGTTGAGCATACATTAAGTAAAGATTTCAACAGTTTGCTCCCACACAGAAACATAAAGTGAAAAATACTGTTTGAGTACTAGTTATAGCATTAGATCTCAATGTACAGCACACTAAGGACAAAGATCCTACATGAGGAGTAAGTGCACAGTGACTCCTGTTGTTGACTTAACAAATTGACACTCTTGTTTATGGCATCAGTAATCACCCAAAGCTCTTGTCATGAGTTGCCAAGGCTATGGAAGCCCCCTGAGTTCACTGACTCTGATCATTTTTAGACAAGGCCATGGTCAAAGTGGAAGTTCTCTCCTCCCTTCAGAGAAAGGTACCTCCTTCTTTGATGACCCATTCTTTCTACTGGGATCTCACTCGTGGAGATCTTTCATTTAGGTTTTTTTTTCCCCCAGAATACTCTGGAATTAATCATAATGACTGCACAATTTTGTGAATATACAAAAAACTGAATTGTACTCTTCAAAAAAGTGCATTTGATGTGAAGTAGATACATCTCACCTTCTAATATAGCATAGAGAACTTATGGATGAGGGAGGAATATGGTTTTCTTTCATGAGATAAGAGAAAGACAATTGTGGAAGAGACATTGTAAAAGGAGATTGTGGGTGACAATCTCCTTGTGGGTGACAATCTCTTTTTTTAAAAAAATGTTATTTATTTTTTTTGAGAGTCAGAGTTAGAGATAGGGAGAGACAAAGAGAGATAAAGAGGTCTTCCCTTTGCTGGTTCAATACCCAGATGGCTGCAATGGCCAGAGCTGGGCCAGGCCAAAGCCAGGAGCCAAGAGCCTCCTCTGGGTCTCCCACATGAGTTCCGGGCCTCAAGCACTTGGGTCATCTTCCGCTGCTTTCCAAAGTTCATTAGCAGGGAGATGGCTCGGAAGTGGAGCAGCCAGATGTGAAGGGGTGCCCATTTGGGATGCCAGCGTCACAGGAGGCAGCTTCAACTGCCACATCACAATGCTGGTCCCATTTCATCTTTAAAGAAGAGTATACATGAAAGTTGAGGTTTTAAAATTTGTTTATATAAAATTGATGTGTGCCTTGCAAAGGTATTATGTATGCCTAGTGTTATTCATAGTACTGGAATATCCCTGTTCTAACAAAATAACTTCTAAATTTCACTTTTTCCTACTCTCTTTCTTCAACTCCTATCTTTCTTCTGACAAGACGTTAGAGAGGGAGAGACAGACAGACAAACGAACACAGAAAGACAGAGACAGAGAGAATACCGAGAGGGTTCTCATCTGCTGGTTCACTTCCCAGACAACTGGGGCTGGGTCATGCCAGAGCCAGGAACCTAGAACTCATTTTGGGTTTCCCACCAGGGCGGCAGGAACCCAACTTCTTGAGCCATCATCTGCTGCCTCCCAGATGCACAGCAGCAGGAAGATGGAATTGAAAGTGGAGCCAGGATTCAAACCAGGCACTCTGAATGGGCATCCTCTAAATTTTCTTAAATTTTTAAAAGCTCTATAGACTTCTTTAAAACAGGAACTGAGGTAGAGCATTTTTGAATCATCAGAGACTTCTGTTTTCTTTTCTAGACTTTTAAGGATTTTATTTCTCCTAGCTAAGACATTTTAGTCATTGGAAAACACCTTTTTCTTCCTAACGAATCTCTTTTTTGTAATTGTGTGAAGACTGAGATGACCAGGCCAGCTGGCTTGTGTATCTTTTTAAAAAATATGTTTATTTATTTTGGAGGCATAGAGAAAGAAAGACTGCTTCCATCTGCTGGTTCACTCATCAAATGCCTACACTTCTGGGACAGAAGCCAGGAAGTCCATCCTGGTCTCCCACATGGATGTCAAGGACCAAATTACTTAAGCTATCATCTACAAAGGAAGCTGGTATCAGCAACTTGAGCCAGAACTGAAATCCAGGCACTCTGATACGGGATTCAGATGTTGGTCCCAATGGATGTCTTAACTGCTAGGCCAGGTGCCCACAGCCTTTTACTCTTTAATGAGATAAAACCTGCATCCAGCTGTTAATAGCCTTTGTTACGCTTTTTTACAGTTGAATAATTAGAATACACAGATGTTTTCATAGTGTATGCTAGACTTCTATAACTGAAATACTCCTGCGAATTAATTTTCTTCTTAATAATCAGGCCAATCAGGTGAATCTTTATAGGTAAATATGAGAATATTTTGTACTTCTTTGGGTCTTATGAGATGGGCAGCCAATCATCTCAAAATCCAGGGCAAAACAGCACAAGAAATTCTGCAGATGGACTGGATCTCTTTAGAACACATTCTCCTTGTTGCAGGTTGAATTAAGTAGAGAGCAGCAGGCAATGTGTATTGCTCTTTTCCTTATGGATAGGCAATCATGTAGAACCAATATGAAACTATTTTGAAGTAAAAACTTTGAAGAAGTAGTCCATAGTTTAAAATTGCCATTTGAAACATTCTTTATAAATTATATACAGCTTGACTAAAGCAATAAAGTGTAGTGCTATATCTTTTTTTAACAACATACTTTTAATTTACTTTATAATCACAGGCTTAATGCACCACTGACCATAATTTTCAACAAATAAAAAGTAGAAACACCATTGTTCCACAAGAATAAAGACAAGGGCTATAAACAACAATTAAACCTTAAGATGTCAGTTTCATTCTCACACATTGTTGGGGTCTTTTTGTATTCTATATTAACTATCACAAATCAGAGAAAACATGATATTTGTCTTTTTGGAACTGGCTTATTTTACTAAGCATAATGGTCTCCTGTTGCATCCTTTTGGTTGCAAAATACAGCATTTCATTCTTTTTATGGCTGAGTAGCAGTCCACCATGTGTATATGTATATATCACATTTTTTTTTACCAGTCATCAGTTGATGGACATCTGGGTTGATTCCATATTCAAAAGATATATTTATTTAAAGGCTGAGTTAGAGAGTGAGAGCGAGAGAGAAAGAAATATTCCATCAACTGGTTCACTCCACTCTTCAAATGGCTACAAAGACCGAGATTGGGCCAGGCTGAAACCAGGGGCCCAAGCACTTGTGCCATCTTCTACTTTCCCAAATGCATTAGCAGGAACCTGTATCAGAAGCGAAGTAGCCAGGACTCCAACCAGCACTTATATAGGATGCCAGCATCGCAAGCGGCTGTTTAATTTGCTGGGTCACAATGCCAGGACCAGAACTATATCTTATAAAGATAATTTACAATGCTTATAATAAATCAATAATGCTTGCTTTAAAATGATATAGATATACCAGTATAAAGGAGATGACTCAAACTTCTGATCTCATTTGAATAAACTCATTACAGACATTTTAAACAGATACTGTTCTTTTATACCAAAGCAAATGATCATATAAACAATTCTTCATTTGTGGACTGTTAGCATAATGTTTTTTTTCTTTTTGAGACAATGCAGAGAGGAATTCCCGACATAATATTTGAGCAAACACATCTTTTTTTTTTAAGGTTAAATTATTTGAAAGACAGAGTTACAGAGAGAGAGAGAGACCGAGAGGTCTTCCATTTGCTGGTTCACTCCCCAAATGGCCGCAATGGCCGGAGCTGCACTGATCTGAAGCCAGGAGCCAGGGGCTTCTTCTGGATCTCCCACATGGGTGCCCAAGGACTTGGACTATTCTCCACTGCTTTCCCAGGCCATAGCAGAGACCTGGATCAGAAATGGAGCAGCCCGGACTCAAACTGGTGCCCATATGGGATGCTGGCACTGCAGGCCTGGGCTTTAGACTGTGGTACTACAGTGCTGGACCAAGCAAACAAAAAAATGGAGATATAAGGTCAATGTTCTTCCCAAAATAACAGAGGCACAAAATTATTCTTATTTACCAGGGTGTTTGGCTCCACACAAATGACAATTACCTGTAGGGCCAATTGTATCATACTTAACACAATATGACACAATGTTACTTGAGTAATAATATAAACAATTCTCCCACCCTTATTTTAGTGTGATTGCTAATTAAAAATTGTATGTATCTAAGGAATACAATGCGATTTTCTCTTGCACGAATACATTATGAAATGATATCAAATTTTAATGCAGACCAAGCTAAATTGATAAAGAAATAACAAATTACTTTTCTTTGCAATGATGGTATTTACTGCTCATTTGTTTCATTTTTGATAACCCAGGCTAGTTCCCATCAGTCATTTTATTAATATTTACTCCAAGATTCCTTTGTGTAGGTAAACCTCAACACATATTCTCAGAGTTGCTATTGTACACTAAAAATCATAGCCTTACTAGAGAGGAAACTGATAACATTTTAACCAGCCATAATATTTGTGTCTCATTTTATGGAGCATATAATCCTTCTTTATTTTTTGAAACCATCTAGGTGTCCTGCAATTGAAAGAAGATACCATTGAAAGTTTGCTGGCTGCAGCTTGTCTCCTGCAGCTGACACAAGTCATTGAAGTCTGCTCCAATTTCCTCATAAAGCAGCTCCATCCCTCCAACTGCTTAGGGATTCGATCATTCGGAGATGCCCAGGGTTGTACAGAGCTCCTGAATGTGGCACATAAGTACACCATGGTAAAATCAATTGCTTGAATCTAATTTGTGTTAATAATATGATTATATTGTGATAAAATCAGTAGGCAATTGGAACTTATGAAACTTGTAGGTGACTAGCACATCATGTATATTAGAGAAATATATTTTTCTTATTGAACTGTACAAAAGAACATTTTTTCATGCTTTGAATCAAAAAGATTTAATTAAATCTCAAAACTTGGAGAAATGAAAATACTGCCCAAAATTCAATTGTGCAAGTGTCTATTTAAAACAGAATCTACAGTATTAGGAAAATGTTAATTCCCTGATGTTTTTGCACAATTAGAACTATAGCTTCTAAACTATAGAATTGCTTTAGAATTAAAATTTCTAAAGCTGCATAAATTATTTTTTAATGAAAGTGAAATATCATTCAATAAGGAAAAAAACTCATAATAATAGATAAGTATCCATTGGAAAGATTTAATGAACTACCAAAATTATTAAGGCGGACAATTTATTGAATGGATTTTTTTATGCCTTAGTAAAAACTTGTGCTTTGGCTAAAAAACAATTTGCATTTCAATCCTTTAAATTAACTTATAAAATCCCTTTCTATTCTACTAGCTGTTATAGTAAATTGAATGAACATGTCCATATGTGGTAATTATTTAAAAGTTGCATAGGGTACAATGATCTTTATTCAGTCAGGTGTTAATCACATGAAAGATAGATTGTTGGGAAGCAAAAATGTGAACAGAAGATATGAAATGAATACTTACCATAAATGTTTATACTTCTCTGAAAAGAAATGAAGTAGTGAATGACAAAAGAGATAAAACTTCCTGTAAAATCCAATTACAAGACAAAAGTTCCAAGCAACGGAAATTCTTCCCATTGCTTAAGATTAAAAAAACAAAGTCAATTGCATATAAGTGAGCACTGGAGAACTGGATGTAAAGATGATAAGTAGAAGTAGTGTTATCTTTTAGGATAGAGATGTTTATAAATGATACTTTCAAATTTCTAAAGTTGAATTCTCTGAAGGTTTCTTCTAAGTCTTTCTCCCTCCTTCTCACCCCGGGTCATTGTTGAAATTTGAGGTTTCAAAGATATTCCTGAAACAACACCATTATGCAGGGAATCACATTATAATGGTTGGCATCTTAAAATATGTCATTTAATTATTCTATTTATAGCCCTGTGTCCTAAATACAGATGCCATATAATCTGAAAGAACAGCAGTTATGTAGTTCAAAGGTTAGTTCTACCACAAAAGCCAAACATGACAACTTCCTGTTAAATTACTTAAATTCTTGAACTAAGTATTAACAGTTTCCTGTCTGGTATCTTACTCTTGCAGACAAAATACATTCTGATAAACAGCTTGAATTATTTTTGTTGCTCAAAATGAACTTGTCTTCCTTTTCCTATTATGCGACCAAACTGAGTGTTAAAACAGGATGTGCATAAAAATGCATTGCTGTGGTCTTCCTTAATCGTCCTTCATTGGTTATTTTAGTATCTATTGTGAATACAGTAAAATAGGCAAAAGCCTTGTTATAATTATGCCTTTGTAGTACTGTATTGATAGTATAAGGTTATAAATAATTCTGATGTCTAGGAAGACAAAGACACTTCATTAAGTTCATGGAAATGTGTCTTACTAAAAATTATGCATGGATTTCAAAAACTTTTATACCAGAATAAACTTAAATTTCATTTTCTATCAACTTTCTGAATTACCCTCAGAGAGTCAAGCATTTTATGGATTTAATTATAATCATGACGCAATTGTTAGACTGAGTAAAGCAGGTTGCCCTCCCTAACATGGGTGAGCCTCATCCAGAAACACTCTCAGAAACACCCAGAATAATGTTTGACCAAATGTCTCGGCACAGCATGACCCAGTCAAGTTGACACAAAATCAGTCATCTCAATCATATAAGTAGCTGTTAGCTTGGAAGAAACATTCAACTAGAATGCTATATTCGTTTACTAAATTTTGAAGCAATTTAGGTGTGGACTAAATAAAATAAATAATGAAGTAAAGACACAAAAATGGTTCATGGGAAAGTGCATAGGAGGGTGTTTATTTTTAAATTAGAGGCCAAATAATTCCAAAATCAAACAAGGTAAGATTGTCCTTTAAGTATAACTATTTTTTCTACAGTACTTCATGCTGGAGTGCCATACATAGATACTTTAAACCTATATGTTTATTTTTCTAGTTACGTTAATCTATTGCGTAGCAATTTTCAATACTGTCTTGTCAGATAGTAAATCTAAAGTCATAAGAAATCTGTCAGAATATATAATTTCTGGTTATATCTAAATATGGCCATGATATAAATAATTTGTCATTTTAGCTGTCTAAAATGCATAACTAAGTGAAATAGGCATATTGTAAACAACATTGGTCATTGAGTAGGGAATACACATTGAGATAATTTCTTCTTATCTTATTTTCTTTACTTTTCACTGGTGGGTACACAAGAAAAGAGAAGGAAATACAGATTTTCCATAATATTACTGCAGTTTCAGAGTTTGTATGTAATAAGAGCAATAGGTAACTGTAAGTTTTATAGGGTTTTATATTTTTCTTAACCCTTTCAGAAAAATTATATTAATTATGAAAATCAGTTGCAGTAATTGAGCAAAGTGCAACACATGATGTCAGAGGCTTTTGTCTGAGTACAGACTTTGCCACTAAATTGTAAAAAAAAAAAAAAAGATCAAACTGATATCACTGGTTTTCTTATTGAAGAAGTTGGACCCTCACAAGATCACATGAGTGATGACTTAATTCTTGTGAAATAATTTGGTAAAGTGTGAAGTACTGTACAAGTGTTTAATAGTAGTAGAAGTACTAGTGCTATTAGCATTATATTCTGTGAGAGGATTCTCAACCATAGACCTCTGCTACCATAAGAATACCAGTTTTCACTCAATTGCTTGCCTTAATTCCAGAAGGATTCTTTGTCTAAATAGGTAAGTTAATTTGACCTTGTGACGTTAGAGCTATCAACTCTGATGATTGCTATGTAGATAATTTTGCTTTTAGCCAAACTCAGTTCTACAATGACTAAATTAAGAGAAGAGCAGAATGAGTGATTTAATTTTTCCAGAGGCCTCAGAGGTTGTCTTCAACTGTTCCCTGAATATCTGGTTATTTTGCAACATTAATATCAAGTAAGCATGATTGCCTCTATTTCAGAAATATCTTTTATTGCATTTAAAATATGAGATCTTTATTATGAAGAATTTGAGAAATGATAATTGTGTTGTCAAATAAAAAGCATATAATATTTATGTACTGGAAAAATATATGGTGTTTGATAAGAAATTGCAACATGGCTTTTTGAAGTTTGATACTTGACAAAATACAACATGATGATGAAAGTGAGAATTAAGATATAATATATAAAAATGTAAATTCAACCACACTTCCTTCTAAAGAAACACTCCAAAGAAATCCATTTAAATTGTCTTGAATCTATAGATTGTGATCCATTGTAAAAGGATACATTTCCCTTGGTCAGTAGAAATCATTTTTTTTCCCTAAGAGTTTTTCATCAATCTCTTTTTCTTAAACTCTCAAAAGATTTTAGTCTGTTGCCTCCTCAGATGCATGGCAAGAGTTAATTCATCAAGGCCTTCAAGTTAGCCTCCACTTTGAAAACATTCATCCTTTGTCTTAGAGCTTTTGGCTAAAGACCAACAGGACAGTTAGGTCTGGAGTCATAGCTGTTGTCCCATACAACAGCTGAAGGCAAAAAGCACTTCTATGGGCTGCAACATTGTGCTCATGCAACCTGTGAGAGTTAAGGATTTTCCTTGTGCTTGATAAGAAATTACTAGTGGAAGCATTTAGTCTCTCAGCTTCAGAAGACTCCCCATACCCCTGTGTGCAATAACATCTGTTTGTTATACATAGTTATATTTGTCTTTCTGCCATTTTCTGATGTTTTACAGAGTGAAATGCTTTGATACTTGTTGTTGTTGTTGTTAAGAAGTTTCTAAAGTGTAAAGATTGAATGGATTTCCTTCCTTTCTTAGGAACACTTCATTGAGGTAATAAAGAACCAGGAATTCCTCCTACTTCCAGCCACTGAAATTTCAAAACTTCTGTGTAGTGATGACATTAATGTACCTGATGAAGAAACCATTTTCCACGCTCTAATGCAGTGGGTAGGGCATGATGCGCAGACCAGGCAACGAGACCTGGCGATGCTGCTTTCCTATATCCGACTGCCATTACTTCCTCCACAGGTATGGAAATGTACCCAGGTAATAGAATTAGAGTTCAAAACCCCCACTAGGCATTAACTCATTCCTTATTTGCTTATTTAATCAGAGGATTTCTGGTAATTGGTGTGTTCAGGGCTTGCTTAGCGGAAGGATCTATCCAGCCTTCAATTAGAGGCATTAATAATGGAGACACAGGAAATGTGGATTAAAAAAAAACTACAGATGATGCCTAAATGTCAGAACAGTCATCGAATTCAGTTCCCTCGCTCACCAAATAGTACGTGTCACAAGCAGGGAAAATGACTAAGCCAAATCTTCCTCTTTTTTTCTGTTCACCTTCTGGAGTGATATATTGGATGATGCCTGCTACTATGAATAATTATCTGCTATGATTGAAAGCACGCATCATACTTTCAGATGCACTAGAGCATCGTTATAATGGCAGCCTCATCCTGCGTGCTGAACCAAAGGATTACAGCAAAGACGACCGTGAAAACAAACTCCCTTGGATAAGACATGAGATTGACTCACCTCGTATTGAATTTCAGCATGTGAAGTTTAGTGAGAATGTTCTGCAGTACTGCTACATAACTCCACCATTAGTGATAACCACAATTTTTTCCCTCTAATTGATCAATAACAGATCTAATTCACACTACGTATTTATATATAGGAATATGTTGAACATATTCATGTCATATTTATTGAGTCTGTGACTAAATTCCTCAATATCATCTACATTGGAAAAAGAGAACTTATCTGCATATAATGGATCAATAGTTTTGTAATTATTAAAATACATTTATTTTCAGCAAAATAACTAATTGTTAATATTGAAAAATAGATTGTTAATGTACTGATGATTTTCCTATATACATATATTTTTACATTTAGTAGTTAATTAAATTCTATGAAATTACATGCTTGCTCTTAAGAATCTATACTATGAAATAACAAAAATGGACTTCCCTTCAAGGAATAAAAAATTTATACAAAAGGAAAGGCAATGGTAACACCTAAAAGAGAAATGTCAACATTTATATGTAATTTTAGACCCAAAGTTCTAATCTGAGATTATAGATGAGCTTCCGAATCTATAGAAATTTTATGTCTTAGTGAGCATGGATACACTTATTTGTTATATTCAAGAGAGGTTCTATATGATTTATCAGATTCTATAAAACAGTGTCATTCAAAATGTTTCTGGACCATCAGTGTAGGATTTCCTGTGAGCTTACTGCAAAAATAATTTCTCAGGTACCACCTCAGAGTCACAAAAGCAATTTCTGAGGGTGAGGTTGAAGAATTGTATTTTACTAAGTTCTCCAAATGATTCTTAGACATGCAAAAATTTGAGATGCAATTGTATAAGAAGTATTTAACCACCTTTGTTAGTAGGGTGTTTCTTGTAGGCAGCAAATAGATGGATCTTGTTTTTAAATCCATTCAGGGGGCTGGCGCTGTCACATAACAGGTAAAGCCACCATCTGTAGTGCCAGCATCCCATATGGGCACCAGTTCGAATCCCGGCTGCTCCACTTCTGATTCAGCTCTCTGCTATGGCCTGGGAAAGCAGTAGAAGATGGTCTAAGTCCTTGGGCCCCTGCACCCACATGGGAGACCCGGAGGAAGCTCCTGGCTTTGGATTGGTGCAGCTCCGGCCATTGCAGCCAATTGGGGAGTGAACCAGCAGATGGAAGACACCTCTTTTCTCTCTCTCTCTCTCTCCTCTCTCTCTCCTCTCTCTGTGTGGCTCTGACTTTCAAATAAATAAGTCTTTAAAAACTAAAAATAAATCCCAGTCAGTTTGTATCTTTTAATTAGAAAATTTAGGCCATTTGCATTCAAGGTTACTATTGAAAAATAATGACTTGGCCCTGCCATTTTTCCGTAAATATTCCTATTTGCTTTGGATTTCCTTTGTACTCTGACTAGGAGATTTTCTGCCTTCACATTCTTTCATGATGGTGACTATCTTTCTCTGTTTCTGTGTGTACACATTCCTAAGTATCATTTGTAAGACTAGAAGAGAGTGGTGACAAATTCTTTCAATTTCTGTTTGTTTTGGAATGTCTTTATTTCACCTTCATTTATAAATGAGAGCTTTGTAGAGTGCAATATTCTGAGGTGACAGTTTTTTGTTTTAGGACTTGGTCTTTGTCTCTCCATTCTCTCCTAGCTTGTAGGATTTCTGATGCAAAATCAGCTGTGAATCTAATTGGAGACCCTTTGAAAATAATCTGGCATTTCTCTTGTGCACATTTTAGAAAGCTTTCTTTATGTTTTAATATTGAACGCTTGAATATAATATGTCTTGGTGAAGAACTTTTCTGATCATGTCTGTTAGGAGTTCAATGTGCTTCCTGTACTTGAATGTCCCTATCTTTCTCTAAATTAAGGAAGTTTTCTGCTATTATTTCACTGGATAAGACTTATAATCACTTTCTCTTTCCACACCTTCATGAACTCCTAAGACAAGTATGTTAGCTTGTTTAATAGTATCCCATACTGTTTTCAGTTTTTCTAGTATTTTTCTTCTTTTGTTTTCTGTTTGATTGAGATACATCCAAAGATTTTTCTGCTTGCTCAGAAGACAACAACCAAGTATGTTGTTAAGGCTTTCCACTGTATTTTTTATTTGACATATTGAATTCATTCTAATATTTCAGTTTGATTTCTCTTCAATATCTCTATCTCTGGCAAAACTTTTCATCCATGTAGTGTATGGATTTCTTTAACTCATGTATTTGCTTCTCTGTGTTTTTGAGTAATCTTATGATCATTCTTTTGAATTCTTTTTTAGGCATTTCATCAACCTGTTTGTCTTCACATTGCAACAGTGAAGCATTGTTGTTATCCTTTTAGGAAGTTATATTGTCTTCCTTGTTCATGTTTCTTGTATTTCTACATTTATTTTTTGGCATTTGTGGAAACACTTGTTGGTTTTCGCATCTGATGAATTTCATCTTTAAAATATGCTTCCTTTAGTGGATATCTCGAGGCGTTTTGAGGTGTGTGCTGGGTGGAGCCAGGGAGCTCTGGTCTGTACTTGAGGGCGAGGCAAGAGTCCAGGGTGACACCCAAATTGGGTGTGGTGGAACTCCTCTATGGTCAGCTGGCATGATCACAGCCTCACCTCCTCTCTGTCAAGGTGACCAATGCCTAGTGTGAGCCCACAGCGGCTACACACGCCACCCACTCAGGCTTATGAACTACACGAAGGATCCGTGTGGTCCTCAGTGTGAGCACGGACCCCTCTGCAATGACCCACACACATCAGGCACTCAGGGGACTCTGTACCTCTGAAGCCAGATGCCGTCCAGAGACCCAGCTATAACCCACGCCCCATCATGCAGTCACAGAATGCCCACAGTCACAGCTCACAGGGCTCCCACAGTCACAGGGATCAGGGGGTCCACTCTTAGTCCCTTGAAGCTGCCTCAACCACAGACAGAGCCAAGGCATTCCCAGAAGTCCCTGCCTGTGGCTGTTCCATTTTGGCAGTTTGAGTCGGGGCACCCATGATAGAGTGAGGGGAGGGGAGCACTTCACAGGCCTAAAAAGATGCCCCACCCCCTGCTAACCCTCCAAACCAGCCTCTAAGTCAGTGAGGACTGCAGGTTTATGAGCCAAATAAAATCCAGTAGTTACACACTCATGAGAGCAGCCTCTGCTTATGTTATTAATATGGCATGGTCTCACTGCTAGTCACCAGGTGCCCTTGTTGGGGGATGGGGAGGAAGAAATATGCTCTCCATTCACAGAGTTAGATGGGCACCCTGCCCCCGACTAGTGCTCCAGGCTGGACTCAGATCAGTGTGGTTCCCAAAGTTCTCCCTCAGGTGCTATCACCAGTGACAGGGGCTCCACACTGTGCTCTCAGCTCGATCTCATAATGTGATGTTTTCTCCGCCCCTGGCTGCAGGAGTCACCACTAGTTTCTCTGCTCACTGCTGTGCGTTTGTAGCGTCCACGCTGCTCTATGGTGTCTCTTTTTCTTTCTGTAGAATTTCTACTGCAAGCTTCTCTCCAACTTTCCCCCTGGAAATGCAGTTCCTCCTTTTTTCTTCTGTTGCTTCCTCATGGTCAAAATCAACACATATTCAGCCATCTTGAATCCTCTCTCTTAATTTATTGTAACAAAGAGAAATTTCCAGTCCAGCTGCCCAACCAGTGGTACCTGGGCCTCTCACATTCAGTGTGCTTTCTGCCTGGAATGTGACCATGTGAACTTTTCATAATTGCAGTGTTGGGCAATGGCATACCAGTATAGGCTTTCAAAAAGAATGTAAAGGCTACCTTAAGCAAATATTTTAGAAATGAAATATATGAAGAGAATGGTGATGAATTTCTGAAGAAAAAATTACACAACTTAATTTTTAGATATATTTCTAACAGCCTGTGCATTTAGGAAATGTCTGGGAACTCATCAAGCAAGTCAAAATAATGATCTACCTGAGATTACATGTGGGGTGAGAACAAAGCCAGAGTTAGTCAGGGCAGGCCAAGAAAATTCAGAGAAGCTTTGTAGACTGAGATTAGTCCTTGCATTCCAATACGCTGCTTGCTGTTCCTCTCAATAGCCAATGATACAGTGGACCCAAAACTCCAGGGGAATCAATCTGACCCTTGAAAACACTCCTAAACATATTCTTGACTTATCTCCAACTCATCCCAGGAAAAAACAATTTTTCTAGATTTTATCAGTATCAGGTACAATCTTATTGTATGCCAAGTAGTGATAGTTGAGAGCATTGATCTTCTTTTGCTGTTGTGTTATACAGTTACTAACACATGCACATTAACTCAGTTAAAAAGTATCTTTCACAATATCATTCAGAAACGATTTCATGATAAAGATGCAGTCCCCTGTGGGTGATGTTATTTCAACTGGGCATATTTGCATGACTGCCACCTCTACCCTCAACCCACTTCACCGAAGGTGCCTGTTTGCATTAGCTACATGTATTGGACTAAAAGATGCTTGCTGTTTGAAAGCACAGTCATTATTTTTAATTACTTTCAGTAATATTTTTATGGGTGACTTTTCACTTTGACTCCTTCAGATTGTATATTTACATCTTTGAAAGTTGAATAGTGTTTCAATTAATAAATATGTGTAGATCATTAGCTATTACCACGAGGCTTTTAGTCATTATAACACGACACCTGAAAATACAAATATTTAAGTTAAAATATTAAATAATAAAACTTCTACATTTCAATTAGGTCTAGTTTTCTCCAAACATATGTAAACCAAAATATGTTCTTTCTAATGGTGACCTCTTCATTCACATGCCATTCATCATTACTTTTCAGTTACTGGCAGATCTTGAAAACAGTTCCATGTTTAGTGGTGATCTGGAGTGTCAGAAGCTCCTGATGGAAGCTATGAAATATCATCTCTTACCTGAGAGAAGACCCATGATGCAAAGTCCTCGGACAAAACCTAGAAAATCAACTGTAGGGGCCCTTTATGCTGTGGGAGGCATGGATGCTTTAAAAGGTAAAAGGAATAAATTAATTCATTTATAAAATGTCTCTATTCAAAATAGATGAGATATTCTCAACACTTTCAAATTAAGAGAGTGTATTAAAACCATGTTAAATGAGTGCATTGAAAGTTATCTTTCGGGCCCGGTGCCGTGGCACACTAGGTTAGTCCTCTGCCTGTGGCACTGACATCCCATATGGGCACCAGTTCTAGTCCCGGCTGCTGCACTTCCAGTCCAGCTCTCTGCTGTGGCCTGGGAAAGCAGTAGAAGATGGCCCAAGTCCTTGGGTCCCTGCACCCACGTGGGAGACCAGGAAAAAACGCTTGGCTCCTGGGTTCGGATCGGTGCAGCGCCGGCCGTGGCGGCCATCTGGGGAGTGAACCAGCGGAAGGAAGACCTTTCTCTTTGTCTCTCCCTCTCACTGTCTGTAACTCTACCTCTCAAATAAAATAAATAAAATCTTTAAAAAAAAAGAAAAAAAGAAAGTTATCATAAATATGGTATTTTATGTGATTTTTTTCTGACCACAGTTTTCTTTCCCCTTATGGCATATAACCCTTTAATTCGTGTTAGCAAAACACTTTAGTAGGTCCTTTTCTTTCATGGAAGCAATTCTGCAATAGTCTTTTCAGGGGATATTTATTGAAAGTTGGTCATAAAAACAAAGAAATGAGGCTTTCAAAAGAGTACTTTTTTGAAGATTTATTTTTTTTATTTGAAAGGCAAAATTATAGAGAGAGGGAGAGACAAACAGATATTCCATCAGCTAGTTTGCTCCCCAAATGGTCACAATAGCCAGGGCTACGCCAGGCCAAAGCCAGGAGTCCTGTTGCTATAACGAAATAGCTGACACTGGATAGTTTATAAAGAATAGAGGTTTATTTACCACATGGTTCTGGAGGCTGAAAGTCCAAGATTGGACAGCTGAATCTGGCTGTATCACAATATGACAGAAAAAGAGAAGTGCGAGTGTGCACAGCCAAAGGGAGACAACAATAGGGGTGTATTTGCATTACAACAGCCTGCTCTTATGCTTACTTATCCAGCCATGCAAAAGCAGCTTTAATTACATTCATAAGGCCATTTCCCATGACCTACTCACCTATTAAAGACTCAACCACCTTTCTGTGCTGCCACATTGTGGACTAATTTTCCAATATGAATTCCTGGGGACATGTTCAAATCAAAGCACCTATAAAACAAGAGATTGAAAATGCAGTCATTTTCAAAATTGTAAGGCTACTTTACAGAACTACTGTTTTTTTTTTAGAAAATAACAAATATAATGGGATCTTATGCTTATTTTCATGCCTGGTAATTTGATACTTTATTGCATTTTGTTGAATAAAATTAGTGTTAATAGCATGTTTGAAGGTTTCTTGTTTGATATTTAAATTAAAAAGGCACTAAGTGCAAATGTGGTTATTCTTAGATTATGTGTTAAATTATATATATTTATATATATATTTACATACATATGGTGTGCAATGAGAGAAAAGGAATATCTTGTATTTGTGTTTGTGTTTGTATGTGTGTCAGTATTTGTTGTCTATTTTTGTCATTTTTTTCAGGCTTTTCTTATTTCAGTCATCATTACATAAAGTAATATATTACATAAATGGTTATAAGCTCCTCAACTCCTTACCAGTTTCTAAAAAATGAGTGAAAAGTTAATCTCTAACTCCTGGATTCTGTTAAAACAGCTTGGTATGGAAAGAAGCAAGACCCTCATTTTGGGACTCTTTTGAGTTCCTAGTATATAGAAACACCATATGAGAGTTTATGGGAAGCTGCAGACTACCAGAAGGGTAGTAAAAATTACCATCTCTTTGGGGCCAGCACAGTGGCAGACAAGGTTAAGCCTCCGCCTGCAGTGCCAGCACCCATGGGGTGCAGGTTCAGGTCCCAGATTCTCCATTTTTGATCCAGCTCCCTGCTAATGCACCTGGGAAAGCAGTGGAAGATGACCCAAAGTACTTGGGTCCCTGCACCCACGTGGGAGACCCGGGAAAAGTTTCTGGTTCCTGGCTTCAGCTTGGCCCAGACCAGGTTGTTGCAGCCATTTGGGAAGTGAACCAGTGAATGAAAGATCTCTCTCTATCTTTCACTCTGTGTATTTCTGGCTTTCAAATAAATAAATTGTTTTAAAATCTACTACTGGAGCCTGCACTGTGGCAAAGTAGGCTAAGCCTCTGCCTGTGGCACCAGCATCCCACATGGGCATCAGTTCCTGTCCCCCGGCTGCTCTTCTGTCCAGCTCTCTTCTTATGGCCTGGGAAAGCAGTACAAGATGGCCCAAGTGCTTAGGCCCCTGCACCCACAAGAGAGACCCGGAAGAAGCTCCTGGCTTCGGATTGGCTCAGCTCCAGCCGCTGCAGCGTTTTGGAGAGTGAACCAGTAGATGGAAGACCTTTCTCTCAATCTCTCCCTCTCTCTGTCTGTAATTCTATCAAGCAAATAAACAAATAAATAAATAAATCGTTAAAAAGACAAACAAAAATAATATTTTTGAGTACTTGATTGGTATTTTTCAAATCCTCACAATAATGCTACAAAATAGATTTTATTACCCTTACTAGGGTAATAAATCTTTTTAAAGATTTATTTATTTATTTTGAAAGGCAAAGTCACAGTGAGAGAGGGATAGACAAAAAGATGGACCTTCCATCTACTTGTTTACTCTTCAGATGGCTCAAAATGCCAGCATGGGGCCAGGCTGAAACCAGGAGCCAGGAGCTTCACCCAGGTGTCCCATATGGGTTGCAGGGTCCCCAGTACTTGGACCATCTTCCACTGCTTTTACGGGCGCATTATCAAGGGAGCTGGATTGGAAGTAGAGCAGCTGGGACAGCAACCGGCATCCACATGGGATGGTGGTGACTTAACCTACTACATCACAACACAAGCCCCACTAGGTACATCTTAAGGTTAGATAACTAAGCCAAGAACAAGCATCCATAAAATCTGGAAATGTAATTCTTACTCAAATGCTATGTTCTTTTTTCTGCACTGCCACTGTTACAAAAAGAAATAACAGCCACAAAACTGCCCCCCCCCCCACCGTAAAGGTCTTAGAATCTTTTGAAAAACCAAGATATACTTAGGACCAAAACGAAAAGGAAAAGCAAGATATTAAAAGTAAGCAGTGTAAGAAAAATATTGGGTAAAACAAGAAGAGTAATATTTATCTCTAAAAATCAGTATTGCATTGAAAAAGTATACCTATTTACATTCATTCACAAAAAGCATAGATAAAGAATTTCTATACGCATGCCTTTTCTTATAGGTACTGTTTTAGTTTTTTTAAAAGATACTTTTTTAAAAAAAAAATTAAGTTGGGCCGGCGCTGCAGCTCAATAGGCTAATCCTCCGCCTGTGGCGCCGGCACCCTGGGTTCTAGTCCCAGTTGGGGTGCTGGATTCTGTCCCGGTTGCCCCTCTTCCAGTCCAGCTCTCTGCTATGGCCCGGGAGTGGAGTGGAGGATGGCCCAGGTGCTTGGGCCCTGCACCCACATGGGAGACCAGGAGGAAGCACCTGGCTCCTGGCTTCAGATCGGCGCAGCGCGCCGGCCATAGCAGCCACTTGGGGGGTGAACCAACAGAAAAAGGAAGACCTTTCTCTCTGTCTCTCTCTCTCTCTCTCACTGTCTAACTCTGCCTGTCAAAAAAATAAAAAATAAAAAAATTTAAGTTATACAAGTTTCATGCATTTCATATGTACAGATTTAAGAACATAGTGACACTTCATCCCTCACCTTCCCTCCTTACCAGACTGAAACCCTTCCTCCTCCTCCCTCTCACATTCCCACTCTTAATTTATACAAAGATCTATTTTCAGTTTACTTAATGATCATATAGTTAACCCTACACCACTAATTAAAAGTGTTCAACAAATAGTATGAAGAGAGAGAGAGAGAAAAAAAAAAACACTGTTCCTCAATGGAAGAGACATAGGCTGTAAACAATAAAAGATACTTTTTAAACTTTTGCTTTTTGATGTCTAGGAAATACAGTACTTCCTCAATCTTTAATTTCCTCTCTTACTCACACAGTAAAGTCAGAAATAGCTGCTAAATATTGATATCATACAAATGGCTAGAGTTTGCTATAAATCCTACAGTATATCAAAAATAATCATCAGAAAGTTTTAAAGTATCATCAGAGTCAAAATTCAGAAGTAGACAAATGGTAAACTTTGGATGTCTTGTACACATAAACATTTATAAATTATTTATTAAAAATAACTTTCTGAGAGACAGTACATCAGGGAACAATGTAAAAGCTAATATAGTATCTTTAGATAATTTTAAAGTTGATATAGAAAATCACTAAATCAGATATATTCAAAGCTACTATCTATACTACTATGCTCAGAGAACCCACAGCAATACGTCAAATTTGCTGGCTTTTGCTTGTTGTTGAACAGATGATACATGAGTATTAAGTGAAAGCTTAGAAATGAATTGATGCACAATATGTGCAAAACTTTAGGGCAGAAAATCACCTTAAATAAAAAAAAAATTCTAAAGAGTTGAGTAAGGACTATAAGATTAATGCACTGTATATTTCTATATAAAAACAAACAGAAAAAAAACTCAGAAGATAGGATTTTGAATGTTTTCAGCAAAAAGAAATGCTAAACATTTGAGGGGATAGTTATAATTATCCTAATTGGACATAACACAATGTGTACATGTATCAGAACATCACATGATATCCCATAAATATGTTCAACTTCTAAGTGTCTGCTAAATTTTTGGATAAAATAAAATAATAGAAATTTAAAAATCTACTTTATATTTTTTCACCAAACACAGAGCTGTCATACTAAGCCAGCTGAAGGCTTTACATTTTAATTAGTTGGAGTTTTGGTGGGGGTGGGCAGATGGTCTTCAAAAACGTACACAATTCAGATACAGACACATAAATGTTTGTGGTTGCAATGAAAAAGTGTGGGATAGTTGTTCTTCTATGTTAATATAATGTTGGGAAAATCAATCTGACATAAAGCAAATATCTGTATCTTGCAATATAAATCTATATAGGGATGATTAGTATAGCTTGTTACAATTTCTTAACTAATTATTTCACCATTCATATCTCCATAATCTTAATAATGAGAGCAGCCTAGCTCTCATTTCCTGATATAAATTGGCTCTTTGGTAAATCCACTAATGAAAAGAGTTAGAAGTAAAAGTTAAAATCAGCAGTGGCAGCCATGAAGACAGATATGGGAAGACAGGAAACTGTTCAGGGAAGTCTATGAATGCAAACAAAATGAACATAGATGTGAATTTGTTTGTAGCTATTCCTTTCTTAATGGTTACATCCAAAGGTATTTAGTATAGAAAAGATAGGTGCTGTAATATAAGCTCTCAGTAGTAAATACACTCAACAGAGCAGTACCTGATCTAGAAATCAGCAATTAGCCCGATCCACATTATCAGTGAATGATGCAGCAATGAAAGGGAAGGAGTAAATGTGTGCCTGTGGATTCACAAGTTTATTGTGAAAATCCAAAATCCTGGGACATGAATAATGTAGTGCATGGTTCGCTAGGAAATACATAAAATTAGAAGAAGGAAACAAATACTATTCCCACTAATCCAAGACAAACTTTCAGAAGCAGCACAGATCTAGTATACACTCAAATCTGTTTAAATTTTCATTTGATATGACCCCATAGAGTGGACTTTTAACTGCCAACAGATATACTTCCATGACAACCATATTTTAATCCTAACTCATGGATAATATTCTATCCACAAATTTCCCAGGAAAACAAAAACTGGGAAGTGTTTTTGCACATTCCTGTGTTGGGATTTGTGCAATTAGGATGAAATTCCCCAAACCAGTCACAAGCTGTTTTAGGTACAACATAGGTGTGAGTAATAATTCTATTATTCCACACTTTGGTTATTAGGCAGAAGCGTCCCTCTTGTACAAAATCAGCTTTTACTAAAATATAGCAGTAGTTATGATGAATAAATGGAAAGCAGAATTATCTATAAAATGATGAATTATTATGACAGTAGTAACAATTTATTATGACAGTTATAAGCTTGGTATTTTGGTAATTGAGAATAAAATGAAATATTCTTAAAACAAATAGAAAGTATTGCATCAGATTTTTATACTCTAAACTATAATGCATCATGGAACATTATGTGAATCAATGCTAGAGGCCTATTAAAAGAATTTTCAATCTTAAATCTTTAGCCATTTTTCCTTTAAATACACACACACACACACACACACACACACCCCTCACAAACTGAGAAAAAAATGAAAGAAGATAAGTTAACACATTAAATGGTTATAAGTCATTAAAACTATAATGGATGTGTAAATATTTCATAGTAGAATCCATGCTACTTTTTTGTCACCAGATATTCTGGTTGACACCTGTGTTAGTTCTTCTGTCAGAATAGTATAGCAAAAGAAAGGATTACAGGACGTAAATGATGAAGACATACCTTAAAAATCTATTTTTTTCTGATTCTTCCATTTGAATCCAGAGCAGTAAGATATTCCCAGATTGTAGAATCATCTGGGTGCTTAATTTGATTTGCAGTCACTACTATTGCACTGTAAGTAATACACACATAAATATAACATGAATTACATCAATTCAAAATTATAATACAGGGTTTTTTTATGATTGTTCAATATTATTTTAACAGGTACCACTACAATTGAAAAATATGACCTCAGGACCAACAGCTGGCTGCATATTGGCACCATGAGTGGCCGCAGACTTCAGTTTGGAGTTGCAGTTATTGATAATAAACTTTATGTTGTGGGAGGAAGAGATGGTTTAAAAACTTTAAATACTGTGGAATGTTTTAACCCAGTTGGCAAAATCTGGACTGTGATGCCTCCCATGTCAACTCATAGGCATGGCTTAGGTAAGAACATCATGTTACTGTGGCTTCTTGAGAATGTATACTTAGTTGAGTTCTTAATATTTAAACTCAGCTTCTGATAAATTATGTCTGCCAAATGACACACTATACAATTATTCAGTTCAGTTATGTCACTGTGATTCTAGACGTAACTTAGAAAGTGTGTCCCACAGAGAACAAAGAACTAGCTTCTCCCAATCAAACTGATATTATGAAGAAGTAGGAGAAAAAAGGAAGATATACTACTGAGAGGCTGATTGGAATGGTGAGGAAAGTGGGGATAAAAGGCAATTATGGGAATTCCCAGAAGAGATAAGAAACACACAAGGGCTATTTATAGTATCTAGCAGAACTTCAAACTAAACCTCAAAAAGCCCTGTTTAGTTATTTGTATTACAGGAATCTATTTGTAACTATATTAAAAAAGTGATTATAAAGATCTACCATAGTCCACCTACCATTCTAAGGTGCATCTAAGATTAAATACCATATCTAAACTATCCTGTACATTAAAAAAAAGCTATATTGACATGAAGAAAGAAAAAAAGTAGCATCCCTTTCCTATCACACATGAACAAAAGTTCTATTCCACTATTTCAGTTGACTTCAATGTTATGACAGTGGTACCTTTCCATGACACAGTAATGATGATTGAAAGTTTCCTAGGGTTACAAAAGCATATTTAGCTTTATATCAGAATCATTAGATACTTCCAATATATGTAAAATCATTTAATAAGCAAAACGCAAGGTCTTGGGTGATCCCTCATACTAATTTTATTCTTTAGGTGTAGCCACTCTTGAAGGACCAATGTATGCTGTAGGTGGTCATGATGGATGGAGTTATCTAAATACTGTAGAAAGATGGGATCCTGAGGGACGCCAATGGAATTACGTGGCCAGTATGTCAACGCCTAGAAGTACAGTTGGTGTTGTTGCATTAAACAACAAGTAAGTCCAAACATGCATACTTTTTGTTCCCAATGCATATGGTACAGAACTTCAGGGACATATTCCATTCATCAATATGTATTCCAAATAACCAAGACAACCTTGTTATCAATGATGAAAAGCCTTTAATGGAGTCCTCCTTTCATTATTACTGGGACTCTTGCCAATCAAAGTGCAGTCCTAGGACCAGCAGCATTAGCGTTTCTTGCTAACTGTTACAAAATACTGAATCTTAGACCTACCCCAGATCTTCTGAATCAGAATCTGCCCTTTAACAAGATCCTTGGGTGACTTGTGTGCTCATTAAATATGAGAAGAAAAATTATAATCAAACTAATTATAATTGTCCCCCAAGAAACTACCACTTTTTATGTTGACTTATTCTTGACTTACTAAAACTTTGGTTTGACTGTATTTATAACAAGGAAAAAGATAAGTCTTTTGGTTTTTTTCAATCATTTCTCCCCTAAGCATTCAGAGTTCCCAAATATAGAATCCTCACCAGTTTCAACTTCTTGAATACTCATATTCATGTTCTTCCTTATCACTTGCCTATGAAAGGAAAGTAATATACTAAAATATAGTGATATTAGAGATTTCTGAGATCTAAAATTAATGCCAAATAATTATTACTTTTAGCTCTCAGAAATCTCTAGCATCACTATGTCCTGTCCTGACATGGGACTCATGGAGACAATTAACAGAATATAGGAGGGGCTTGAAGGATGACAGTTTCAGACAATAGGATAAGTTGGTGGCGGGATGCAGTCTTCTGTGCTGTACTGACTCTGCAGAAAGCCAATCTCTCATCACAGAAGCTGGCTTTGTAGAAATTGCAACACAGATACGTTTTAGCGCCTTACATAAGAAGAAATAGGCAATATCTATGGTTAACATGATTTGTGATGTTTTAGAGCTTAATGTACTTTTAAATCTGATCATCTCTGGCTTATCCTAAATGATACTTGGTGATTCAGTAAGGTAATCTCCAATCCTTTGTCAAACAGCCTGAAATCATCAAATTTGACTTAATTTTGTTTTAAGTTGCAGTTGTTCAAAATCCAACATGAATGGCAGTTACAGACATGTGGTTTCTACTTATCTTCTTTATTCATGCAAAATTAAATGTAAAGTATATTTAAAAAATACTTCCCATCAGAAAATTTACCAGTTCAAAGTTTTTGGGAGAAATGCAACAGCCAACATCTCTTCCTAGGAAAAATTCAGTTTCTATGTTCTATCTGATTCCTTTAGTTTATTAAGGTAATGCCTTCTTACTGATACTGTTTTTACACAAAATAAAGTAGCAAAAACAACAGGGATTCTGATGCTAGGTGTTGAGCCTGGCTATAATTTTAAGATTGTTGGAGCTGGTCTTTGGAACTATTCTGCCAACCTATTTGATATACCTTCCCTTTTCCTCTGCATCACTTCCCATGTAATATTTTAGTCAATTGTGTCAAAGTTACTTTGACAAAAGTGATAAAGAAAGGTCTTAGGTAGAGTAGACTTAACAGATGCCCTTAGACATCTATCCCTTAACAAAGCCTGACTACTTACTACAAAATAATGGAGAAGACCATACAGTCAGAAACTTCAGAAATTTGAATGCTTTTTATAAAGTTTTCACATACTTATTCTATGCATATATTTTCTATATGTACATACACACACACACAAACACACAAAGCTCTACGTTCTATCATTTCCCCCCTAGATTATATGCTATCGGTGGACGTGATGGAAGTTCCTGCCTCAAATCAATGGAATACTTTGACCCACATACCAACAAATGGAGTCTGTGTGCTCCAATGTCCAAAAGACGTGGAGGTGTGGGAGTTGCAACACACAATGGATTCTTATATGTTGTAGGAGGTCATGATGCCCCTGCTTCTAATCACTGCTCCAGGCTTTCCGACTGCGTGGAAAGGTAAATTGTTTCTGTTTATTTATGCATGTGATGATTTGGTTACTTTTTTTACAGAAATGAGAAAGATTTTTAAGCTAATAGAAAGCCGACTTCCATATAAGTATTAATTTTTTCAACAGATTAGCCCTTTGTTAAATTGTACACATAACCTTAGACTCAACATATTTTAGGAAAAATCCTCCTCATTCACTTCAGATCCACAATCAGTGTGTGTGTGTGTGTGTGTGTGTGTATTCTGCCTTATCTTTGGCTAATCACATTTGGGAAAAAATAGGGTTAATTCACCACTTCTGATGCCCACATCCCATATTGGGTACTCTTTCAATTACCAGCTACTCTGTTTCAGATCCAGGTTCCTGTCCATGCATCCTGAGAGGCAGAAGATGATAGCCCAAGTACTTGGGCCCCTGCCACCCACATGGGAGACCTGAATCGAGTGCCTGGCTCCTGGATTTACCCTTGCACAGCTCCAACTGTTGGGACCTGCAGAAGGAAACTCTCTCTCTCTCTCTCTCTCTCTCTCTCTCCCCCTCTACTTGTCTCTCTGCCTTTTAAACAGATGAAGAAATAAATCTTTAAAAATACTGAGACGAAATGATGAAAAGTAAGGCAGTTTTTTGCCAGGCTATATCACACAACCAAATCACAGACTTAAATCAAAATATGTTTACTATTTCTAAAATCAAGTCAGTCTTCAAAGATGTGGAGACTTTTCTATCCCAAAATGCCAAAGAGAAGTTCCAAAAGCATGTTAATAATATTGTGAACAATGACTTTGTTGCAGTAAATATTTTGTGAAGTAATATCTCATTGGGGTTGTGATTTGCTTTTACTTAGTGAGTAGAAATGTTGAGTATATCATCAGGTACTATTGGACAGTGGTATATCTTCTTTTTTTGTGTTATTCATTTGTTTGAAAAGGAGAGAGACAGACAGACACACACACACACACACACACACAGAAAGTGCTCTTTTCTGCCAGTTCGCTCCTCAAATGTCCCCAACAGCTGAATTTGGGACAGGGCTGAAGCCTGGAGGTGAGAACTCAATCCAGATCTTCCATGTGGGTGGCAGGGACCCACTACCTCATCCATCACCACTACCTCCCTACCTCCCAGGGTCTGCATTAGCAGGAAATTGGAGTCTGGAGCCAGAGATAAGTATGGAATCTGTACTCTGATTTGGAATGCTGATCTTTCAACCACTAGGCTAAATGGCTAGTCACTCTACATCTTCTTTAGAAAAATTTCTGTTCAAGCTGTTTGCACATTTTCAAAAATTGGGATGTTTGTCTTCTGTTGTTCAATTATAAGTTCTTTATCTTTTACCAGATATAAAAATCTCATTCTATGGGTTTCCTTTTCACTGTTAAAAATTCCCTTTGAAGTACTATTTCTAGAAATTTTGGAAGTCTATTTAAAATAGTTTCTTACTGACTGTCTTTTTGGTGTTCTATCCAAGGAATATTTGCCAAATCTACTGTCATGAATCTTTTCACCTATGTTTTCTTCTTGGAATTTTATAATTTTGACTCTTAAGTTCACATCTTTTATTGATTTGTGTTAATTTTTTGTATATGAGTAAAGATACAACTATATTCTTTTGCAATTGAATATCCAATTTTCCCTTAAACATTTGTTGAAAATACCCTGCTTTCCACAATGAGTGGCATTGACAAAAATCAATTGTCTGTGTTTGTGAGAGTTTATTTCTGGGTTATCTCTGTTCCATTGTTATTTTTTTAAGATTTTTTTATTTATTTACTTATTTAAAATTTATTTATTTATTTGAAAGACAGAGTTACAAATAGGCAGAGGCAGAAAGAGAGTGAGAGAGAGCGAGAGGTCTTCCATCCCCTGGTTCACTCCCCAAATGACCGCAACAGCCAGAGCTGTGCCAATCCAAAGCCAGGAGCCAGGAGCTTCCTCCAGGCCTCTCACATGGGTGCAGGCGCCCAAGGACTTGGGCCATCTTCCTCTGCTTTCCCAGGCCACAGCTGAGAGCTGGATTGGAAGCGGAGCAGCCAGGACTCGAACCAGCACCCATATGGGATGCTGGCACTGCAAGTGTTGGCTTTACCTACTATGCCACAGCACCAGCCCCGTGTTCAGAAATGTTTCTAATTTCTTTTCTACTCTTGAATCCTAGTTTCTTTCCATTATGACCTGAAAAGAGTACCTAGCATGTTTTCAATCTTTTTAAGTTTATTAAATACTTGTTTTACGGTATAATACTTTCTTCTGGAAATAGTCCACATTTTCTTGAGAAAATTATGTTCTGCTATAGTAGAGTAGATTTTTTTTGTGTGTGCATATGACCAGTTGGCCTATAATGTTCACTTTCTGTAGCAACTTATTGATAGTCTGGTCTCACTTTTCTATCCATTATTTAAAGTGAAGAATTGAAGCTTTCTACTATTATTATAGAGTTTTCTGATTCTTCCTGCAGTTCTGTTAATGTCAGCTTCATATATTTAGGAGCTCTGATAGTTGGTTAATATGTTTATAATTACTATATTTTTGTGAATTTACTCTTTTATTATTATATAACATCTTTCTTTTATCTTTTGTAACCATTGTTGTTTTCAAGTCTGTTTTGCCTAATAACTCACTATCTTTTGACAGCTTCCCACATTAAATATCTTTGTCTAGTCTTTCATTTTTGATCTAGGTATGTCCTAAGATCTAAAATCTAAGATATTTTTTTTTGTAGACAATTGGATACTGTTTTAAAAATCCATTATTCCAAGATATGTCTTCTGATTGAGGAATTTTAATTCATCTACCTTTAAAATAACTAATAACAGGGAAAAATTTACTGTATTTACAAACTTTTGGTTCCTTACTTTATCACTTACAGTTTTTCTTTGCGTTTTATTGAATTTTATACTGAAAAGTTGTGATTCCCTTCTGAATTCCTTGTGTGTATACCTTATAAATGTTTTCTTTGTAGTTACAATGGAGACTATATATAATATCCTAAAGATTTTCCAATCTTTTAAACTGATAGCAACTTTTCTATCATATTGAAAGACTTTAAACTGCCTTCCTCAATACCTTTACTATTGATGTTACACCTTTCTGTTTTGTGTACCCATTAACATGGATTTATAATTTTTATACTATTGTCTTTTAAATCTCATAGAAGAATAAAAAGTAGAGTTATCAACCAAAATTACCACAACATTGATTCTTATTTTTGTCTATATAATAATCTTTACCAGAGAACCTTATATTTCCATACAATCTCAACTTACTGTCTGGGACCGTTTTGTTACAACTTGAAGAATTTACTTTTCCATAGGGAACTTCTAGTGAAAATGAATTTTTATACTCACATTGTTTATTTTTGCAGCATAGTTTAGTTAGATGTCTTTCTGTCTTTCAGCATTTTAATATCTTTTCATAGCCTGTCATCTTCAAAGGTTTCTACTGATAATCTTGAGAATTTCTTAAATGTGGCAAGTTACTTTCCTTACTATTAAGATTGTCTTTTTGTCTTTTAACAATTGGCTTATAGATTTTAGTCTTGTCAGAAATTTTCAGCTATTATTACTCCAAGTATTTATTATTTGAAGTAACAAATAAATACGAGTACTCTTGTTCCTTCTTTTGAGATTTTTACAACACATACATTGGTCTAATTGATATTCCTTTAGTGCCTTAGATACTATGTTAATTAGATTTCCATGGTAAAACTAAATCCACTGTAAGCTACTTAGGAAGAAATGAAGGTTTATTTTAGTTTATGGTTTTGGAGGTTCACAGTTCAAGATCTGTTGATCTCAACGGATGAGGGTGGTAAATCGTGGAATATGTACAGAGGTAGAATTGTATGGCAAGGCAGCAAGCAGAGAGAGGGAGAGAGGGAGAGAGAGAGAGAGACAGAGAGAACAGGCTTATATAATCAACCTTCTTTTGAGAACTGTTCTGGCCGGCGCCGTGGCTCAATAGGCTAATCCTCTGCCTGCGGCGCCGGCACACCAAGTTCTAGTCCCGGTCGGGGCGCTGGATTCTGTCCTGGTTGCTCCTCTTCCAGGCCAGCTCTCTGCTGTGGCCCGGGAGTGCAGTGGAGGATGGCCCAAGTCCTTGGGCCCTGCACCCCATGGGAGACCAGGAGAAGCACCTGGCTCCTGCCTTCGGATCAGCGCGGTGCACCGGCCACGGCGGCCATTGGAGGGTGAACGAACAGCAAAGGAAGACCTTTCTGTCTGTCTCTCTCTCACTGTCCACTCTGCCTGTCAAAAAAAAAAAAAAAAGAAAAAAGAAAAAAAGAAAGAAAGAAAGAAAGAAAGAAAGAACTGTTCTAAGCACATGCCTCCAATGACCAAAGGATGACCCACTAGGCATACCACCTAAACCTAATTAGATCAGGTATCCATGCTTTTTCTTGCTTTTTTTTTTAAGATTCATTTATTTATTTCATTTAAAGGCAGAGTTACAGAGAGGCAGAGAAGGAGAGAGAGGAAGATATCTTCATCCACTGGTAACTCCGCCAGAGCTGGGCCGATCTGAAGCCAGAAGCCAGGAGCCTCTTCCAGGTCTCCCATGAAGGTGCAGGGGTCCAAGGACTTGGGCCATCTTCCACTGCTTTCCCAGGCCATAGCAGAGAGCTGGATGGGAAGTAGAGCAGCTGGGACTGAAACCAGCACCCAAAAGAGATGCAGGCCCTGAAGTTGCAGCTTTACCCTCTACACCATTGCGCTGGCCCCCATGCTTATTCAGTAGCACCATCCTGAGGCTAAGTCTTTAAAATTTACACATTGAGGAAATCAAAACTAATATCTAAACAGTAGCAGACTTTGTTCACTTTTCTTCATGCTTTTTGATCTTCAGACTCAATCATTTGTAATCACCTGTCATCAAGTTCATTTATACTTTCTTCTACCTCTCAGGTCTCCTACTGAACCTCTCTGGTGAATATTCTAAGTCAGTCACTTTATTTTACTTTCAACTGCAGAATTTCTGTTTGGTTATTCCCTAAAATTTCTTGCTTCTGTTTGACATTCTCATCAGTTCATATATTATTTTCCTGACTTCTTTCCATTATTTGAGTTTTCCTTTTAACCAAAGAATGTACAAATTGTACTTCAAATTTATTTCCCTTGCAAGTCAGATCCTTATATTTTGTAATGGTTTATTTATTTATTTGAAAGAGTTACAGAGAGGGAGAGACAGAGAGGTCGTCCATTCAGTGGTTCAATACCGAAATGCCTACAGCTGTAGGGACTGCATCTGGCCTGACACTCCATCCAGATCTCCCACGTGGGTGGCAGGGGCCTTCTGCTGTTTAATAAGGTTCATTAGCAGGGAACTGGATCAGAAGTAGCTTAGCAAGGGAGAGGGACAGAGGGGAGAACTCTGCGTTGTGTCATAGCAGGTAAAGGTGTCACCTGTGATACCAGCATCACATATGGGTGCCAGTTTGTGTCATGGCTGGCTGCTTCACTTCTGATCCAGCTCCCTGCTAATGGCCTGGGAAAGCAGTAGAAGATGGCCCAAGTGTTTGTGCCCTGTCACTCATGTGGGAGATCCAGATGAAGCTCCTGGCTCCTACCTTCAGCCTGGTCCACCACTGGCTGTAGCCATCCAGGAAGTAAACAAATAGAAGGTCTCTCTCTTTCTCTTTCTCCCTCCCTCTCTCCCTCCCTCCCTCTTTCTCTCTGTAACTTTGCTTTTCAAAATATTTTTTTTAACTTTTATTCAGTAAATATAAATTTCCAAAGTACAGTTTATGGATTACAATGGCTCCCCCCCCCATAATTTCCCTCCCACTCGCACCCCTCCCATCTCCCACTCCGTCTCCCATTCCATTCACATCAAGATTCATTTTCAATTCTCTTTATATACAGAAGATCGATTTAGTATATATTAAGTAAAGATTTCAACAGTTTGCACCCACACAGAAACACAAAGTGTAAAATACTGTTTCAGTACTAGTTATAGCATTATTTCACATTGGACAACACATTAAGGACAGATCCCACATGAGGAGTAAGTATACAGTGACTCCTGTTGTTGACTTAACAATTTGACACTCTTGTTTATGGTGTCAGTAATCTCCCTAGGCTCTTGTCATGAGTTGCCAAGGATATGGAAGCCTTTTGAGTTCGCTGACTTCGATCTTATTCCATCAGGGTCATAGTCAAAGTGGAAGTCCTCTCCTCCCTTCAGAGAAAGGTACCTCTTTCTTTGATGGCCCTGTTCTTTCCCCTGGGATCTCACTCGCAGAGATCTTTCATTTAGGTTTTTTTTTTTTTTTTTTCCCAGAGTGTCTCGGCTTTCCATGCCTAAAATACTCTCATGGGCTCTTCAGCCGTATCCAAATGCCTTAAGGGCTTATTCTGAGGCCAGAGTGCTATTTAGGACATCTGCCATTCTATGAGTCTGCTGTGTATCCTGCTTCCAATGTTGGATCGTTCTCTCCCTTTTTTATTCTATCAGCTAGTATTAGCAGACACTAGTCTTGTTTATGTGATCCCTTTGACTCTTAGACCTATCAGTGTGATCAATTGTAAACTGAAATTGATCACTTGGACTAGTGAGATGGCATTGGTACATGCAACCTTGATGGGATTGTATTGGAATCCCCTGGCACGTTTCTAACTCCACCATTTGGGGCAAATCCAATTGAGCATGTCCCAAATTGTACATCTCCTCCCTCTCTTATTCCCACTCTTATATTTAACAGGGATCACTTTTCCGTTAAAATTTAAACACCTAAGAATAATTGTGTGTTAATTACAGAGTTCAACCAATAGTACTAGAACAAAAAAAAATATTTTTTTTAAAAAAGGGAAGAACTGAGCCGGTGCCGCGGCTCACTAGGCTAATCCTCCGCCTTGCGGCGCCGGCACACCAGGTTCTAGTCCTGGTCGGGGCACCGAATTCTGTCCCGGTTGCCCCTCTTCCAGGCCAGCTCTCTGCTGTGGCCCGGGAGTGCAGCGGAGGATGGCCCAAGTGCTTGGGCCCTGCACTCCATGGGAGACCAGGAGAAGCACCTGGCTCCTGCCTTCGGATCAGCGCGCTGTGCTAGCTGCAGTGAGCCGGCCGCGGCGGCCATTGGAGGGTGAACCAACGGCCAAAAGGAAGACCTTTCTCTCTGTCTCTCTCTCTCACTGTCCACTCTGCCTGTCAAAAAATAAAAAAATAAAAAATAAATAAATAAAAATATATTAAAAAGGGGAAGAAGTGAGCTTAACCTGTTGTGTCACAATGCTGCCCCCCACCCAAGACAGTTTCTGAAGGTTCCTCTTGTTCTTTTGAATGGGATTTGTGTTTCTTTCTTTGTATTTTTTGTCATCTTTTTGTGAAAAGTGGGCATTTTAAGTAAGAAACATCTTTCTCAATTTTTGCAGATTGGCTTCATGCATGAGAAGACCATCATTGATTAGCAGGTCATGTTCTGTGCCTGGAATCAGTCCAACAAAAGGATTGAGATCTTAAGCTTTTTTCAGAGTGTGCATGCTTTCTGGGCTTGTGTGTGTGCATTTGATTCCCCAAATAATAGCAGCTTTTGTAATTGGTATTATTCTTATTACTAACATTATTCCCTTATTGTCATTTTCCTTGAAAATACTTCGAGAAAATGGCTCATGCTAAAGTATAATTTTCAAAAATTAAAATCACTGGGGCACATTTCTGGCATAGCAGATTAAGCTGCACTGCATATCTAAGTGCCTGGGTTCAAGACCAGCCTCTGTTTCTGATCTGGGTTACTATTTATATACCTAGGAGGCATCAGATGATATCTCAAGTACTTGTGTCCCTGATAACCATATAGGGATTGGGATAAAGTTCCTGGCTCTTGCCTTACCTG